GGTGGTGCTCATCTCCGTTTCTTAATCAAGGAAGCCAGCATTGTCCAAAAACATTTCTGTGGTCATGTGGCCAGCACATCTTAATGCCAAGCGCATGGAACCTTCCACCAAAGTGGTACCCATTTATCTACTCACATTTGCAAGCTTTCAAACTGCTTGGTGGGCTGGAGCTGGAACAAGTAATGGGAGCTCACCCCATCACACAATGCTCAGGTCTCACTCTTGGCCTGTCTGCTTTCCAGCTCACAGGTTATGAATCTTTAACCACTGAGCCATTGCACACTCTTCATTATATCTATATAGCAATAGCCATAGCACTTAGACTTATATATAGCTTCATTGTGCTTTATGCCCCTCTCTAAGCAGTTTACAGAGTTAGCATACTGACCGGAATAATCTGGGTCCTCATTTTACTGACCTCGGAAGGCTGGAAGGCTGAGTCAGCCTTGAGCTGATCAGGATTGAACTGCTGGCAGTCACCAAAATTAGCATGCAATTCTGCATTCTACTGCATCACCATGGCTCTTATATATTTGGAATACTGCATCCAGTGTTGGTCACCATGATGTAAAAAAAAGTTGAGACTCTAGAAAGAGTGCAGAGAAGAGCAACAAAGATGATTAGCGCTCCATGGCATCGGACCTGGGTATCTCCGAGACCGTCTTCTGCCGCAGATTGCCTCCCATCGACCGGTACGCTCCCACAGAGCGGGCCTCCTCAGGGTGCCGTCGGCCAAACAGTGTCGGCTGGCGACCCCCAGGGGGAGGGCCTTCTCTGTGGGAGCCCCCACCCTGTGGAACGAACTCCCCCCAGATATCCGGATTATTCCGGATCTCCCCTCCTTCCGCCGTGCCCTCAAGACATGGCTTTTCCATCAAGCGGGATTGGCCTAGGGGGGGATTTTATAGGGATTTTAAAGGGATTTTATAATTTTTCTAATACAGGTTAATTAATATATATTTTAATTTGGCTTTTAAATATTTATTGTATAGCTCTGTTTTTATTTATCTGTAAGCCGCCCTGAGTCCCTCGGGAGAAGGGCGGGGTATAAATTAAAGTAATAA